AGAACTTCTATTTCACAATGGATGATTTCAACATATTTTCCGTTTATAATATTGTGTGCTTCTCTTGAAATACAACCTCTTTCTTTTTTTCTTATGGGTGAATTGTTTAAAATTCTAATGTCTATTATATTTCTTACAAATATACATATTCCTTAATAACTGCTGAATTTGGGGTTACTAACATGTTTATTTTTCATTATTAATAGATAATTGTAGCATATATTATAGAATATAAGTATAGGACACTGATTATTAACATTGCAGTATGCCTATTCTACATGGATGCAGTTTTATAGCAAGTATTCAGAATATTTTGTTATCCTTAAAGCTTTGTTTTAATGTTGTGTACAATAAGTATTCGAAAATTGAGTTTGATATGTATTTTTCTTTTTTTTTTTTTCTTTTAAATATGAGCCACCTTTATGCCTCCTCTAGGTTGCTATGAATTTTGGGATACCTGTAGAAAATTCCGAAGTTTTCAGGGCTGTTGTAACTTTTGATCATAGGGCATTTATAAATAGGCTTCTCTGAAAATAATTTGAACTACCTGTAATCAGCCTTTCTTTATTGTGAAATCTTATCCTTTGTGTTTCTGTTCATTTGCATACCATGGTTGACAAATGTAATAGCTCTGTAATTATGAGTTTTAATTTTGGTGTAATACTTTTCATTATAAAATACCCATCTTCAAACTCTGGTTAATAGGAAGCCTATGATTCTTTATATCTTACAGATATCTTTACCAGATGTGTGAGCAAAGAATTACCACCAAAAGAAGACATTAATAATGGAGAATTATTCCAAACATTAATTTTCTTGGAAAGACACATAAGACATGAGTTTGAGGATTTCGATTTGAGAAAAATCCAAGATGTGAACAAATTTGAGACTCAGTGGCTTTATGAAGAAAAAAATTACGAAGACACTGCAACCCATTACAAAAATCTCGCCTGTAGAGAACATCAACAACATCATAAATTCTGTAATCATTTTCCTGTAAAGCGCAATGTTTCCATAGGAAGAAATACATCTGAATATTACAGAAATACATCTGAATATTACAAACATGATACGGTGAGTAAGGCACTAAAAAACAAGGTAGGTTATTCAGGAAGCAAGTATAGAAACTGTTTGGACAGTACACTTGAATTAAGCTTTCATTCACATCTGACTGAACTGCAGAGATTTCAGACCCAAGAAGAAATTCATGAAAGTAACCAAGTTGAGAAGCCTACCAAAAAGACTTCAGTTTCACTTCAAAAAATTCCTTCTAGTGTCAAAACCAACATTTTTAATAGATATGGGAAGGTTCTTATGCATCCTTCATCACGGACACAACACCAGAAAACACCCAAAAGAGAAAAACCTTACAAATGTAATGAGTGTGGGAAGGCTTTTAGCCATTGCTCAACCTTAGCTACTCATCAAAGAATTCATTCTGAGCAGAAACCTTACAAAGGTAATGAGTGTGGCAAAGCCTTTAAGAGGTTCTCAAACCTTATGAGGCATCAGAGAATCCATGCTGGAGAGAAAACATATAAATGTAATATATGTGGTAAAGATTTTGCCACAAAGTCACATCTCTGGGGTCATGAGCGAATTCATACAGGAGAGAAGCCTTACAAATGTAATGAGTGTGGCAAAGCCTTTTCTGATGGTTCATATCTTGCTCAACATAAGAATTTCCATTCTGGACAGAAACCTTATAAATGTCATCAGTGTGGCAAGGATTTTGCCACGCGTTCACACCTCTGTATTCATAAGAGAATTCATACTGGAGAGAAACCATTTAGATGTAATGTCTGTGGTAAGAATTTTATGATACCTTCACAGCTTTGGGGTCATGAGCGAACTCATACTGGAGAGAAGCCTTACAAATGTAGTGAGTGTGGCAAAGCCTTTTCTAGTGGTTCAAATCTTGCTCAACATAAGAGAATCCATTCTGGAGAGAAACCTTACAAATGTAATCAGTGTGGTAAGGATTTTACCACACGGTCATACCTTTGGAGTCATGAGAGAATTCATACTGGAGAGAAACCTTACAAATGTAATGAGTGTGGCAAGGCCTTTATCAGGAGTTCAAATCTTACTCAACATAAGAGAGTTCATGATGGAGAGAAACCCTATAAATGTAATGTATGTGACAAGGCCTTTAGTCAGAATGCAAGCCTTACTGTTCACCAAAGAATTCATACTGGGGAGAAACCTTATAAATGTCATGAATGTGGCAAAGCCTTTAAGCACTACTCAAGCATCAATAAGCACCATAATACACATAGAGTGAAGATACAAATATAAAGTGTGTGGTAAGACTTTTATTAAATGTTTATACCTTTGGAGTCATGAGAGAATTCATACCAGAGAGAAACCTTACAAATGTCATGAGTGTGACAAATTCTTTAAGCACTGTTCAAGCCTGAGTAGACACCAGAATATACATAGAATGAAGATATAGATGTAGAGGTTATGGTAAGGCTTTTATTAAATGTTCTCACATTTGGAGTCATGAGGGAATGCATACTGCAAGGAAATCTCACCAAAGAATGTAGCACAGCTTTCATGCCCTGCCTCAGGATTCACCAAAGATTTCATGTCAGAGAAAACGCTACAAATACAATGATTGCTGGTACATTGCTTAAGCAGGTTTCACAATATACTATGCATCAGAGAATTCTAATAGTATGAACTAAGTCTAATTCTTGAAGATTAATCAAATCAAATTTTACACTCTGCAGGAAAATTAAAAGTCAAAATGTTTTAAAATTCATGAAATGATGGGTGTCAAAGGAGCAGGGATATTTGTGGAACACCCTACTTATCTTCAGTTTATATGATCTTTTTATTTTCTATTTCTTGTTGACATTACTTGATTATCAACTTTAGACTTGTTGAAAATCTGTTAATGATGTTATGTCTTCAACACAGACCTTTTGTGAATTGCCACTAGTGTCTGTGATGGTTCCTTTTATTTTGGTCCTAATGTAAATGGTATTTTGTTTTTAATTTTTAATTCACTTGTTTATTTCTGGTATCTAGGAAGGCCGTTAACTTTTGATCATTAACCTTGTATCCTGCTGCCTTGCTATAATTTCCATATTGTGTTTTATCTACCATAATTTGGGGCATCATAAAATTGTTCAGTGCTGTGGTGACAGGTACCACTGTTTTGTTCCTGGGATAAAAAGAAAGGACTCTCTCTTACTGTACTCATATTAAGCAAATCCTGCAGTCATTAAGTCCAACTTGGTCATGGGGCAGGTTCCTATTGTATTATGTGGCAATCGGAGTATCTACAGTTTATTAAGATCTAAGAAGCTGGGGCGCCTGGGTGGGGCAGTCAGTTAAGCATCTGACTCTCGGTTTCAGCTCAGATCATGATCTTGGGGTCATGAGATCAAGCCCTGCGTCTGACTCCGCACTCAGTGTGGAGTCAGCTTAAGGCTCTCTCTCCCTCTGCCCCTCCCCCCTGCAGTCTCTTTCTCCCTCTAAATAAATAAATGTCTTAGGAAAAAAATCTCAGAAGCTTTATGCGTAATTGGTGTTGCCATATAGAATAAATCTCTACATATAAATGGAACCTGGTCGCAGACAAAATTATAATAGCATACCAGAATCTAAACTACAAGGAAAGGGCGCCTGGGTGGCTCAGTTGGTGAAGCGACTGCCTTCGGCTCAGGTCATGATCCTGGAGTCCCGGGATCGAGTCCCGCATCAGGCTCCCTGCTGAGCAGGGAGTCTGCTTCTCCCTCTGACCCTCCTCCCTCTCATGCTCTCTATCTCATTCTCTCTCTCAAATAAATAAATAAAATATTTAAACTACAAGGACAGCTTATGAAAAGAGCTAAATGTAGATCTAGATTACTGGAAGAACATCATCAACCACCTTTTTCCGTATATCATGTTGATTACATGATGTGATTTGTTACCACCCCCAGTAGGTTTAAGTCCCCAGTCTGCTGCTAAACAGGATATGAAGTTACTGAAATCACTCAATACTGTGCTTCATAGTCCTCTTTAGAATGGAAGTAGTAGTTTCCACCCCCAGATTTGTGATGAATAGAGTTAACTGTCTTTGCAGCACAGATTCTTAATATTGTAGGTGTTTGTCCTTTCCTGAAGAGTTGGCCTGAGGGGGAAAAATGGTAACATGGTACCTGCCATTTCTTAGACAAACCTGATTGATTTTTCCTGTATCCCTTTTCCTCACATGGTTGATGCAGTTCCACAACTGCAGTACAGCCGGAGGTCGTCATGGGAGAGAGAATTCATAGGACTGTAACATGATGGAAATCTTTACGATGCAGGATAATATAAATTTCACAAGCAGCAAAATTCCCCATAAACAAAATGGATCCATGACTTTCATGTATAATTGCCTTCTCTCCAGCTGTTGAGAGTTTGTTGAAAGTTCTACAGGTCACTTGTTTGTGATCATGGGAGTCCATGCTGTGAAACCTCTTTCATGCCAACCTGGCTGGTAGGCAATATTATATAATACAGCATAATCTACGTAAGTACCTTCTGAAGGTTCTCATCTATCCCCAGCACTGTATTTTTTTTTAACATGCAGGAAACAAATGCACGGAATGATGTGATAATATGAGTGGATTCTCTTTCAGTTATATCTAGGTTATTTGAAGACATTTAAAACAGGATACACATTGTAAATGTACTCAAGCAAAGAAATCCATCAAAAAGGTTTTTAGTGTCACAACCTGAAAGAATCCTTCCTAGTGTCAAAACCAACATTTGCATAAGGGTGGGAAAGTTTTGATCCCTTTTTTGTTGATAACAAAATAATATAGTTCTACATATTACAAAGAAACTGCAAAAGTAATGAACTTGGAAAATCTTTAGACAGGATGAATCTTTACTGATCAGAAATTCATACAGGAGAGATCTTAAAATTATACACAGTGGGGCACTGTATTTAACCAAGTCAAACATTATTAAACATCCATTAAATAAATACCTCAGAGTAATCTTCAAATGTAATATATATGGCAACGTTTTCATCCAAAATTCAATCCTTGTGAGATCACCACAGTACTAATTTTGGAATGAAAACTTAAGAATTTTACGAGTAATGATACTCAAACCTTAGTAAATGTTAAGTAATTCAAATATTAAAAACTTCAGAAGCCATAAGCAGGCTTAAAACTTATGAAACACCACATAATGTATACAGGAAACCTTACAAATTTAATATATTAAAAGCCTTTTTATCCAAAATGCCTTTATCTCCTCAGTTCTTACTGTAGAATTCATCTTTAACACGTATGGATTTTAGAGAAACGTGGATATTAACTCATGGATATTGCCTTAAAGATTATTGAAGGTATAAATCAGACCTTTGGAAAATTGACAGTCTACCTTCACTTTCCTTAGTGTTCATATAAAAACTCACGTGCCTGTCAAATGACCCTGGAAATACTGCAAAAGTATTCTTTAAATGACATCAAACTCAACAGTCTTCTAGAGAATATATACTCAAAAGAGCAGGATTATAATCCACACCTGACAGAACATTTAGAAATAGAAAAACAAAAATGCTAACAATTTTTTATGAAAGTGTTACTCTGGATAAAAGTAAATTTAATAGGTCATTTTGTATCAAAAGGTCAATTATGAAGTGCCTAGAATTTTTCAATTAAAAATGTATTCTCTGGGTTCTGCTATGGCCCAAACAGTATTTACTTTCTCTATTGTGTGTTTTCATTTTCTCCCCAAAATGGGTTTTGTGTACCTGTCAACTTTCTCCATACAAAAATCTCCATAAAAAAACTAAAGTGAATTTGCAATTATATTTAGAAATTACTGAGGAATTATGAGGTCACAAAAGTTTACCTCAAGTTGAGTTTATCAGTCACTTCAAGTGTGGAATACGTTGACAAACATAAAGAACAACTCAAATTAGATATGTACTCTAAAAAAATTTTTTTCTAAACCGTGGTGACCTAAATATCACGTCTCAACCCCCATCTCCCACACACCAGGTCTTGTGCCTATGAACAGCTCTAGATATGAACACAGGATTGAGCACATGATGAATGGGGCTAGAAATGGAAATGACATTCCGAAAAATGTTGGTCAGTAATGGTATATTTCACATTGGTTGAGTATTGCATTTCACATTTCAGTTTGCATCCTTTGCAAAGAAAGCCGCACTCCTTTCTTCAGTTGCTTACATTCTAATGCAGGAGACATTTCCTGGATCCAGCCATGGCCCCACATCACTCTCCACAGAGGACCTGGTCCCAGGCCACTCAGTACATTTTGCCTGTCGCAGGATGCACATGTCTATCTCTAAGTGAAGTTTTTTTGCATTAAGTTTTTTATTTTATTTTTATTTTATGAGAGAGAGGGACAGCCCAGAGCAGGAGTGGGGAAGCAGAGGGAGAAGGCGAAGCAGACTCCCCGCTGAGAAGGGAGCCTGACATGGGGCTCGATCCCAGGACTCTAGGACCATGACCTGAGCCAAGGGCAGACACTCAATGGACTGAGCCACCCAGACGCCCCAAGTTTTTTATTTTAATGCCAAATATAGTTAATACTCAGTGTTATACTAGTTTCAGGTATACCATTTAATGAGTCATCAATTGTATACATTACACAGTGCTCATCAACACAAGTGTGCTTTAAATGGCCCTCATCTGTTTCTCCCATCCCCCCACCGACCTCCCCCCTGGCAACCTTCAGGGAGTACTATGTAGTTCAAAGTCCTAAATTGGTTTATCTCTTTTTTCTTTGTTCATTTATTTTGTTTCTTAGATTCCACATGTTACTGAGTCATATGCTATTTGTCTCTGACTTATTTCATTTAGCATAATACTTTCTGGATCCATTCTTTTTACACACGGCAAGATTTCACTCTATTTTATGGCTGAGTAATACTCCATTGTGTGTGTGTGTGTGTGTGTGTGTGTACAACTTCTTTATCCATTCCTCTATCAACTGAAGCGTCTCTGTTCCATAACTTGGTTATTATAAACAATGCTACAATAAACATAGGGGTGCATGTATCCTTTTGAATTAGTGTTTTTATATTCTTTGGGTAAATACCAGGTAGTTCCATTACGGGTCAGAAGGTAGTTCTTTTATTTGAGGAGACTCCAGACTGTCATCCACAGAGTGTACCAGTCTGATCTCCTGCAAACAGTGCAGGAGGGTTCCTTTTTCTCCACATCCTTGCCAACACTTGTTCCTTGTCCTCAAAACAGTTTTTCAGGAATGCCACTTTCACCTTAATTAAACGTAACCACGTTAGCTTTTAACACAAGGCGGCCCACAAAACTCCAACCTTCCCTCAAACTTTTGGAAACCAACTTAAATGGGCAGGCAGCAGTCCTGTGACACAGGACGCGACAGAAATGGGAAGGGATGGAAAGTCAAAAACACGTACTGGGAGCAGAGGCAACCAGGCCCCAGCCAGATCCTACCCGAGATCCTGGTTACGTCCCCAGGATCCGGCCCCTGGTCGTAGGGCTACCAGAAGGCCCGACCTCTCTGTCGACGCCCTACCCAGGCCCGGCCCAACGGTCGTAGCCTCGACGCCGACGGCCCAGACAGGACCACCCCTCCGGTGCGCCCAGCGCCGGAAGCTCTGCGCCCAGTTTCCGCCTGGCTCCGCCCTACCGCCGCCCTGGCTCCAGAGATCATATGTGTTTCCCTCGCATTACCGGAAATGCTTCTTCGAATCTCCGCCCCAACCCATCCACCGAATTCAGGGCGAAGGCCTGGCCAGTACGAGCTTCCCGGAGCGGCCGGAGGCGCTCCACCCAGGCTCTGCCCCAACCCCGCCCAAGGGCGGCGAGCATCTCGGCCAGGCCACAGTTCGCCTCCCGCCCATTACCGGAAGCACTCCCCACAGGGCCTTCCCAGTCCCGTCGTCCCACTTGCGCGCAGGCGCAGATTGTCGCCGACCCGGAAGCGGCTAGCCGGGAGCGAAGGTCAAATCGGCTGCCTGGGATTTTAACTTTCGCGTTTCTACGTCAGAATCTCAGTCCCCAGGCTTACAACCCTGGGGTCTGGGGTCTCCGCGCACATTAGAGTCCCCTCACCCCCGCCTCCCACCGCGGTAAGTAGGGCGTCGCGGAGATACGCACGGAGCCCTGCGGGCGGCGCTGCGGCTCCGGGGGTCCCGGTGCGTTTAGGTTCACATTGTTCGGAGTCGGCCCCTGCCTGTGGTCCCCCGGCCCTCGGGCCTTCAGACGCCGCCGGCCGCCTTGTCTCCTTGCTTCGCGCCGTCCCTGGGCGCCCCTCCCGCCCGCGCCGTGGGAGTCCAGGGAGACGGGCGTGTGCGCCTCGCGCCGCAGCCTGGCCCGGCTCGGCCCATGGAGGCGCGGCGTCTGGCCCTGGCCCTGGGATTGCGCAGACCCTGCCGCCCTCCCGAGGTGCCCCCGCCCCGTGCAGCCCCGCATAGCGTGAGAGGACCGATGCCCAGGGACGCCACCCTCGTCCGCGCGGGCTTTGGGACGGAGGATCGCGGGGAGTCCCGGAGCAGGTCCCCTCCCCCTCCCCCTCCCCGCGAGGATGGGGGGCCTTGGGGAAGCCGTGACCGCGGAAGGGAGGCCGGGACGGCGGCAGACGCGGGAGAGAGGGGGAGCAGGAGAAAGGGAATGGCGGAGGAGAGACCCGTGAGAGGGTCGGTGAAGAGGCGGCCAGAGAGAGGACGCGGGAGGGACCTGCAATGAGGCCGTAAGAGCGGAAAGTCGCAAGCGGAGAAAAGAGAAGAGCGAAATGTGGAGGAAAGGGAGGCGCTCCGGAAGAAGGGGAACAGGACGGTCGGGGCCCTCGGTTCGCAGAAGTGGGGCCACGAGGGCGAGCTCCTTGACGCAGACAGCGGGGAGAAAAGGGCTGTGGGCCGAAGATGCTGGCACTGAGGCGGGAGGGCTGACAGCCCGGAGAGACTCAGCAGTGCGAGAGCTCAGCCAGAGGGGGCGCCAGGGAGTCGGGGCGGAGGGAACGGACCTGGGAGAGCCCAGGACACAGGTGGGGGGGGGGCGGAGAGAGAGGCCGACACCGATGGAGCTCGGAGCAGTCGGAAAGCCTGGGCAGAAGGAGTAAGGGAAGGTGAAGTAGGTCTCAGGAGCTCCCCCGGAAAGTGTAGGTGTAGGGAAAGGAAGAGAGAAAAGGGGAGAAGGCAAGACTGGAGACGGGAATCACAGGAAAGGAGAAACAGTGGAGTGAATCAGGAGAGAGAAAGACACGAACAGATGAATAGGCAGAAATCCTTTGGGGGGAGAAAGAAGGGGAACCCAGATCTGGGTGAGTGGTGGTTAATGGGACATGGGTGATTCAGTTGTGATAGAGTGACCTGTGTCTCCGTAATGTATTTAACTTTAAATTTGCTTGTTTGAATTGAACAGATGAGAAAGAGAATTGCTGTTTATAAGACTCGTGCATTTTATAATTATTTGCATCATAAGATAGCTTTTAAAAAATTAAACATAGAATTACCATATAATCCACCAAATTTACCTCTGTGTATATTCACAAAGAACTTGAAAACAGGGACCAGAACAAGTATTTGTACTCTTATGTTCATAGCATTTCTCACAATAGTGAAAAGATACAAAGAGCTCTTCTATGCAGAACACTGAAAATTTGTCTGTACTCTGCAGTTGTGCTTGAATTTGACTCTTAGCCCTCAGACTTTGGTCTACCATTCCATTCCCTTTGTCGGAGGCAGTAATGTCCTCCAATGTTCTAAATCTACTGGGTGATTGACTCTCTTCATCTGATCAGCAACATGTTGAACAGTGACCACTCCTTCCTTTGAAGACATTTTTTTTAATGGCTTTCTGGACATTACAGTATCGACAAATCTTACCTCTCGTTTGTGTGTGTGTGTTTCAGTTTTCTTCTCTCCACCTTGTTAACTTCCGTTTCCTCTGCATATTTTTCCTCAACCCTCTCTGATTGGAGGAGTACCCCACTGGCTAGTCTTGGACCTCTTCTCTTCTCTGTCTACATCTGGTGACTTTCCATATCACCGTGTCTCAGGGTTTAAACACCCCGAGGTCTCCTAGGTTCACACTCCATCTCAGACCCCTGCCCTAGACGCCACATTGTGTTCTAAGCTGTCTCTTCTGCATCTCTGCTGGGACATCTAACAGGCATCTCCACCTTACAGTTTCCAAACATGACCTCCTGAACTCCCCCGATTGCGTTCCCTCCAGTCCTCCACCTCCCAGTTAAGAGCAGTGCCATCCTTCCTGGGGCGTAGGTAACCATCTTGGCATGTTTTCAAAATACACAGCCTATTGTTTGTGTGTGTTTTCACTTATGATAGAATTTAAAAAAAAAAAAGACTTTAATCTGGGTGAAAGACTACAGGGCTTCCAGAATTCACTTGAGATGGAGGAGAACATTGTCTGAAGACCATGGCTGGACATTCCTGATCTACTTCTGTGACCTGATCCCCTGCTTGTGTCCTCCTCCCTCCCTGGGATTGAGGCCCACAGATGCCTTTGCTGTTCTTGAGGCCAGGGTCAGCACTGCCCCAGGGCTTTCCCAAGGGTGGTCCCTCTGTCTAGAATTCTCTGACTTCAAATGCAGGTGGTGAACTTCCTTCCCCAGGTGTTTGTTGTGAGATCACCTTCTCATGGGGCCATCTCTGACACTGCCATGTCCCATTCTAGCTTCCCTCCAACCCCCCATTCTGACCTGTAATGCCTGCTCTGCATGGGTCTCTCTGCTCCTTTCTCTTCCACTGTTTGCACACAGGGGACAGGGCCCTAGGAGGGAGCAGAGCCACAGGTGGGTGGGGTGCTGGGCTGGTCTCCTCTGGTGTTCCACCCTGACTTCCCATGGGATTGTGAGGCATTTTGCACATTCCTCATGTGCCCAGTCCCCAGAGATTTCTCTACTTGTGTTTGGGCATAATGGGGCCCAGCCTCAGTATCCAGCATCAAGCAGTAGGGCTCTGGCTCATCCAGTGATGAGAACTAAAAGCAGCCCCTGATCTAGAGAGAGGTGAGGGGGGTTGTTCTCTACATGGGGTGTCATCGGGGCGGGTCTGTGGCTTTAAAGGGAGGGTTAATGCTGCCCAGATCCCCACTGCTGCAGCTCATGTGTGTGCTTCACCAGGAGGGGAGTGAGTTCTGCGAGAAGAGGTCACAACACTCACTTGCTGGTCTCCATGTAGCAGTACGGTGTCCCTGAATCCCTCCTGTGGCAGTGGGCAGCAGAGGGGAGGATCTTCCTGTGTGTGTGTGTGTGTGTGTGCAACAGGAAGGCGTATGTTGACCAAGTTCTAAACAGCATATATTTGACACTCAGGATTGACGTCTCAAGACCCATCTAGCCTGGCAGAGAAGCCCAGGGGAGGGAGAGGAGGAAAGCCCAGAGAGTCAGGAATGACTCATTCTCAGGTAAAGTCATATCTCAGTTCCTTGTTCTGTCGTCTGTGTCCTCACCTCCAGGTGGCCGTGCTCGTCACAGTTTGGTGTCCCTCCTGACATGTTTGCTCATGCTCACCCCAGGACCTGCCCTCAGCCCCTCGATCTGCATGCAGATTCCAGCTCATACACTTCCATGTATCTATTTAATGGAGATCAAAAGTACTTGTTACTAGTTTTAGAAAAATCTTGCAGGGGGTGCATGGCTTGTTTGGGGGGTAGATCATGGGATTCTTGATCTGGAAGTCATGAGTTTGAGCCCCACGTTGGTAGTAGAGATTACTTTAAAAAAAATTGTGTTTAGGGGCGTCTGCCTGTGGCTCAGGTCATGATCCCGGAGTCCCAGGATCGAGCCCCGCATTGGGTTCCCTGCTCAGCGGGGAGTCTGCTTCTCCCTCTGCCCCTCACCCTACTCATGTTCTCTCTCACTCTCTGTCTCTTTCTCAAAGAAATAAAATATTTTTTTAAGAAGTTGTGTTTACAGGGTTGTTTTTGTAAGCAGACTAAATAGAATAACATTGACAGTTTTATTTACATCTAATACAATTTGCACGTGTTCTTGTACCAGAAATGCACATGAGTAAAAAATGATAGATAATGAAGATTTATGTAAAAATAGATGTCATTTAAGGACGCCTGGGTGGCTCAGTCGGTTAAGCATCTGCCTTCGGCTCAGGTCATGATCCCAGAGTCCTGGGATCGAGTCCCACATCGGGCTCCTTGCTCAGCGGGAGGCCTGCTTCTCCCTCTCCCACTCCCCCTGCTTGTGTTCCCTCTCTTCACTGTGTCTCTCTCTATCAGATAAATAAATAAAATCTTAAAAAAATAAAAGATGTCATTTAGAAACTGATTATTTTGATTTCAGTTATTTTCAATGTTTGTGTTTTCTGTCCACACGTGTGTGTGAACATTAGCCCATGGTGTGTAAAAAAGACATCATCCTTTCATAAATAACTTTTATTTATTTTAACGTTGGAAGTATGTCTGACATATTTTCCATGGCCTTAAATATATTTCTACACCATCATGGAAATGAGATAATAGCAGTAGGAATATGGTGTATGTGCATGTGTGTGTGCATGCGTATATATTGACCTTTTATCCAGGCTTATGTTTCAGCCTTGAACTTGTTTCAGGTTTTCTTCATTAGCAACCCTCTGTCAACAGACGTTTATTGTTGCATGCATTACTTCACTGGGTGGCACTATGAGTTCCATCCTAAAGCCTGACCACTTGGTTCAGGTGCACGCTCTGCCGTTTGTATCTGTTTGACCAGAGGCATGTTCATTAGAGTGTGTGTGACAGAGTTGGGTCCTGTGTAAGATGGGAACAAATACTAATTTAATTGGATGCAATGTCCTTCTACAGGTTAACACTTGTAAAGCATTAGAGTAATGCTTACCATATGGGAAGTGTTCAGAACTTCAGATGGCTTTATTATTATGAGATTCCCATTTTGCAGTTTACACCTTTCATTAACACTACTATAGACTTTATCAACCCTGAAGACACTACTCATGCTGTAGCTCGTGTGGAAATTTGCTGTCATTTGGTGTGTACAACATACTACCTAGAACTTGCGTGTAGTTTACCATTTGTCGATGTTTTTGCATTTGTGTATTTTATCTGGCACAATATTGTAAAATCCTCAGTTTAGCTGAAGGAAATCCTGTGATGGAAAAGTGTAACAAATCCAAATCAGGGGTATATGACTTGCTCAGAATGATCTTTTGTGGACCTACGGAAGCCCTCATTTCTGTTTGAGCCTTCCACCTCTCTTCTCCTCTCATTTTTATGAAGTAAGTAGTTCCCTAATGGCCTCTTGGTGAAATGTGCTTTTGTTTCAGGAACTGTTGACCTTCAGGGATGTGGCCATAGAATTCTCTCCGGAGGAGTGGGAGTGCCTGGACCCTGCTCAGAGGGCCTTGTACAGGGACGTGATGGTGGAGAACTACAGGAACCTGGTCTTCCTGGGTGAGGATTAGTTTCCCTACGGAGGTTGGGTACTGCTCTGGTGTGTCTTTGTGTTTTTCTTGGGGATTTCTTGGGAGCCCCTTCTCTGCTTGACTGAAATTGAAGTCCTGCTGATTCAGAAATGAAAATCTTCACAATGTGGTATCTGGATTTTAAACGCAGATGATCATGCAGGTAGTGGTGGTGCTAGAAGGAACAAGACCTTATGTCCAAACTTTAAAATACCACATTCCCTGGTTTTACACCGGTAATTTTGACTTGGTTGTTCTGGGAAGAGAGCTGGATATCTGTCAAACATTTAAGCATTAGGAAGAAGACTGTCATTGAACAAATTTGTGAAATGCTATTGTAGACGCGCCTGTAATGAATGTCCTTGGTCTCAGCTGACAAAGGACTGGGAAAACCCCAGGACATCATCTGCTGTTTTCCATATCAGCAGGAATCTCTCTCTGAGCTGAATATTATCTCCACTGTGCAGAGTGCTTGCTCTGAAATGCTAAGAGTGGGGTAAAACTAGCAACAAAACCCTGGTGGGTGGGAAGGTGTCAAAGATGTGAACACGAATAGGGATAGATGGCAGAAAGTGACTTCCTGAAATGTCGTTTGGACCGTTCCGTCTGGATAGGAGAGGTGGTTGGAAAAGAAGAGGTGATTTCTCATGGGCTCTCACAGGAACTCACTGTTCTCCCTCTCCTTCACTCTCTTCTTTGTATGTGTATGTTTCTGTGCCCTCCTCGGTGGTTCTGCTGCTCTTGTCAGCAACAAGGGTAGTCTTTAACATGACCCAGACACGCAGTTCTCTGCCCCCCCCAGGGCCCTTTACTGGTTCAACCTTGGGGAGCACATGAAGGGCTCTTTGTAAGGGGTATTCTTCCTTCCTTAGCCTCTCCTTCCCTACTCCGTCCACACAGATCTGATCTGAGGCTCCCCTTCGTCCTGACTGCAGGCCTTCTCCAGCTTGCATCCCATTTCATGTGCTGAGTGACCTGTCATGATGGGAACATCGGCTGCTCTTTTGCATCTGGGACTCCAGGCAGGAGCATGGGCTGTGTCAAGCCCTCTGCCTGATCCGTGCCTCTACCATATCCTCATTTCCACTTCCGCCCTTCGGGGGCATGTGTACTGGGAATAGAAGGGTGTTTTGAGATTGCTTTCAGCAGTGCTGTATAGAGAGAGGGTGGGGAAAACCTCTGATTCCCAGTCCTTCAAGGGGACTGTATCTCAGGATTTGGGCCCTCAGCCTGGAGTCTATAGGTAGACCTTAGGTCCTGTTTGAACACCCCACAAAATCAGACCCCCTTCCTTAATTTCCTGTCTTTGTCTCCCTCTTGCAGCTCCTCCTTAGTCTGGGAGTGTGGGAAACCCTTGGCTGTCCCTGATTTCCTGGTCTCCTAAGCTTGTATGGTGTTGCCTGTGAAATTTTCTTGGTTCTGAAGTACAGTTCCTCAGCGTCTGAAATTTTATCCTCATATTTTGGACAACTGGGCACCTTGTGGTGAACTCTCCCAGGAGGAATTTTACTGGGTAAAAGAACATTCTGGATGGAGAGCACATATATTTAGATGTCAGAGCATCATCCTGCTAAGTAGAGACGTGGGCCCTGAAGCACCTGAGTAGTGTGGTCAGTGTGTTCCAGGATGCTGACATTGAGTGTAGCATGAGACCTTGGCTTATGGCTCCAGTTGTCCTTCCAGTTTTTGGCGTGTCACCAAAGTGTGTCTTGAGGACACTGTGGCAGTGTTGATCGAGTACACTAAGGAGTATACTTGATTTTGCATGAACAAGTACAGAAATTTTTTTTAACATAATTGTGCTCCTTTTTTTTTTTTTAAAGATTTTATTTATTTGAGAGAGAAAGATCCCGAATGGGGGGGCGGGCAGGTGGAGTGGAGGGAGAAGCAGACTCCCCACTGAGCAGGGAGCCCAACACAGGACTCGATCCCAGGACTCTGGGATCATGACCCAAGCCAAAGGCAGATGCTTAACCAACTGATCACCCAGGCACCCTTTTTTTTTTTTTTAAGTCTTTTATTTATTTATTTACCAGAGAGAGGAGAGAGGGAGAGAAAAGCAGGCTCCCCACTGAGCAAGGAGCCCTACTCGGGACTTGATCCCAAGGCCCTGGGATCATGACCTGAACCAAAGGCAGAGGCTTAACCAACTGAGCCACCCAGGCCCCGTGAACAAGTACAGGAATTTATTCTAGGGAGAAAATTGTCTGCCTTCATAACCTCATCTGTGAGGCTGTTGTCTAAACTATTGTTCATGCAGCAGTGTTCATTCCATGTGTGTGCTGTATTCCTTCTTCAACAAATAAGATTTGATTTATTGTGTTGAGGGAATTTATGAGGTCATGGTGCCTACCTTATTGAACTCTACCACATTTCTGTATTTGAAAATGTTTGTACTTTGATCTGCAGGGTATTGTAAACCTGTTATTTTTGTATTTAATCATTGGTTATGTATTTGATGACAGTTCTCGGTGTTCTTTATTTTATACCCTTTTTTTTTGTGGGACTGTTTGATCAAAGAATGAATGTTGGTTCATATATTTTATAAGATTTCCTTCCTGGGGCGCCTGGGTGGCTCAGTCGTTAAGCGTCTGCCTTCGGTTCAGGTCATGGTCCCAGGGTCCTGGGATCAAGCCCCACATCGGGCTCCCGGCTCTGCAGGAAGCCTGCTTCTCCTTCTCCCACTCCCCCTGCTTGTGATCCCTCTCTCACTATGTCTCTATCTGTTACATAAATAAATAAATAAATAAAAAAAAAAAAAATTAAAAAAAAAAAAAAAAGATTTCCTTCCTGAATGTTAAGGGTTGTAGATGATCAGCTGTTTTCCCAAAACCTATATAACTTCCAGAATAGAGAAAATATATTCATAGTTAAGTTTTTCCATGAGTGTTGCTTGACTTTATAATTGGTTATTAAGAAACACTTTTCGGGTGCCTGGGTGGCTCAGTTGGTTAAGCGACTGCCTTCGGCTCAGGTCATGATCCTGGAGTCCCCCGATCGAGTCCCACATCAGGCTCCCTGCTCAGTAGGGAGTCTGCTTCTCCCTCTGACCCTCTTCCCTCTCGTGCTCTCTAGCTCTCATTCTCTCTCTCTCAAATAAATAAATAAATAAATAAATCTTTTTAAAAAATTAAAAAAAAAGAAACACTTTTCTTGGAGTCCCTGGTTGGCTCATTCGGAAGATCGTGTGACTCTTGATCAGGGTCATGAGTTCTAGCTCTGTTTTGGGTATAGAGATTGCTAAAAAAAATAAACTTAAAATACTTTTCTCATTTGAATGAATTGGGATTTTTTAAATTGGGAAACTTGGATATCTTGAGAATATACTTTTGTTTTGAAGTGACTGTGTTCCTCCCAGAATTAGAGGTGATTCATCCATAATTAGTTACATAAGATATCTTCATTTCTCTGTGGTATATTTTAATTTGTCTAAACATATCTTGTTGGGTTTTATATGAGTTTTATAGACTTTTATTTTGGTTCAAGTGTTTTAAGAAATCATTTCCCTATCTAGATTTGCCATGAAACTCTTCGCATACTAAACTAATACTTAAATATCTAATTTTATTTTATAGATAAATCCCAATTTCTTGCACTTTGTGTACCTCATCACTGTTACTCATGATACAGTTTTCCACAAAATTTTGTAAGGTCCTGGAAATCCCATTTTTCAGCTAACTCATGATGATTGTTTTGTTTTCCATCTTTTATTTAAGCTGAACTCTAATTAGTGTTCACATTGTGCTTGTTGTCCCATAGCTCAGTGTTCTGTTGTTCTCTGGCCATTTTTGTTTCTTACGTTTTTGGGTTACCCCTGCACAGCCACCTGCTGCATGAATCCCCTGGCACTGGCAAATACTGTTTTTGCCCTTAACTGCTGCTGATAATACTGCCTTCATTAGAAGTTATTTCTTGTGGTTTCAGTGCAGTGACTCAAGGCTACCTATAGTCTCCTGATAATCTTCGTGAATTCAGGACTTAATAATTTTGGGCATGTGCACAGTAATTTTTCTTCATGATAATTATATGTTTACTAATATAGTAAAAGCCTCCCTTCCCTCATTTCTGTTTCACGTGCGGAATTATGTTGAGAGATCCATGATAGAATTTCAGGTAATGAGAGGAAGCCAGCCTAAGAAAAACTATTACTTTTACCTAATATAATCAGACTTAGTTCCAAATTTAACATACTAAAATTGGAAAATATTTATTTTTAGATCTATTGCAAAATAAATCACTTAGATTGTTAGCTAGTTTAAAAAGAACACTTTAGGGGTGCCTTTGTGTCTCAGTCCATTAGGCGTCTGCCTTCAGCTCCAGTCATAATCTAGCCCCATGTTGGGCTCCCTGCTTAGCAGGGAGCCTGCTTCTCCCTCTCCCTCTGCCTCTCTCCTTGCTCGTGCTCTTTCTCTCAAATAAATAAATAAAATCTTTTTAAAAAAATAAAAGGAACGCTTTATTAGAGTAGAATTCACATAACATGAAACTAACCATTTAAAGTGACTAGTTCATTGGCATTTCACTGCATTTAGCCATTGTTCAACTACTACCTCTGTCTGGTTGTTTATTTCCAACCCTCCAATTTACTGTTTTTTTACCCATTAAGCAGTTTCTCCACATTTTCCTCTGTTCCCAGTCCCTGGAAACTACCAGCCTATGTTTTGTCTCTGTTTATGTATTCTGCAGAATTTTTCTTTTTCAATATTGTCTGGACTCTTAGGGGCCCTTTGCAGTTCCATATTTATTGGATCATGTTTTTCCACTTCTACCAAAATGGTTTTTGGAATTTTGATAGTGTCTGTATAGAATCTCCAGACCACTTTGGTCAATATTACCATCTTTAAAAATATGAAATCTTCCAATCCATTGTATGCTCTGTTTTTTCCCTTTATGTAAACATGTTTAATTTCTCTCAGCAGCATTTTACAATTCTCAGCCTTACAGGCCTTTCACCTCCTTGGTTAAATTTATTTCACGGCATTTTATTCTTTGGATGGTACATTATACATAGTATCGTTTCTAAAATTTCCTTTTCCGGTTGTTCATTATATTGTATAAAGCACAACTGAGTATCCTGCAACTTTCTT